CCTGTTTAGGGCGCGCCTGCTCCCGAGACTGAAAAATGGTTAAGTCAAGGATTCCAATTAAAAAATATGTAAATTACATATTTTTTGGTTGTCGAKGGCCCACGACAACCAAAATTTATGTATTTTGGGTCATAATGCGAGCCGGCCGTGCCAGAAAATACACAGATATATGTTATCGGGAATCACCCAATAGCGGTTGTTTTAATCGTACTCGCGCTTTACAGTAATTGTACATGTACTTACCGTATCATGGAGTACGGTCGGTACCTTACATATTGATCAAACTCAAAAAAGAAATTAAAAAATCCAGATTCACACTAAGATAGTGACTCGTTACGTACTACCGTACGTAATCGTAGAATACGGTGCAAGGGAATTGTAGTACGTCACATACATACCGGCAGTATCTCCAGTACCGTACACTAATAGTACCTATTACAGTACCGGTACGTACTGTAATGTAGAGGCAATACTAAATTGCATTACTGTACCGTACCGTAGTATTGATTAGTACTATGATTCTTGTGTCGGGACCACCGTACAGAGAAATCTGTTAGTGCAGCAGTTTTTGCAAGCAGAGGTACAATAATTACTGTATCAATTATCACGTACGAGTACCAGTAGAGAACAGTGAACTTGTTCGACAGGAGACTGTCACCACCAAGTAACAATTCCTGTGCAATTTTGATTTGCGAAGACCGTAGTTAAAAAAATACCCCAGTTCTAGCGCTTGCCACAACGAATCGAATCTGAATGTACCCAGCAACACACCGACATTGACACCGACATCACGAATTCGATTTTCCATACTGCAGAGAATTTGTCCCGCAGCTGTCTTCCAGCTTGGTTGTTTGGTGACAAAATTGGATAATCTTGGGGTTGTTGAGATTGATTTCAAGATGGATATCGATATGGAAGACGAGGAAAGTGATAGCGAAATTATAGAGGTGCGAATAGCGTCGGAATCGGATGCGACCGAGAGGCTCCGCGATCGCGATGGCGATGGCGAAGAAATGGTTGGCAGGAGGCGTCGAGCCATGTCTCACGAAGAAGAGAAGGAACGGCGAGCCAACATTAAAGCAATTCTCGCAGACTGCAGCATCACTCCACAGGAGCGACGACGATCGATCCAGAGTCTGATGGACGGTAGGAGGAGCAGTATCGGAACCGCGTCAATAGCTTCTATGAGTTCAGAGAGCGCAGATATATATGGCTATGGCGATGGGGCTCCAGATGGATACGAGACCGAAATGAACGCCAATACCAACAGTAGTCAAAACAAAATCCTCGGTGACTCGGGAAATGCAATTTGCATCCCGGTTTCTAACGAAAACACCAAGCGCGCCGAGCTTACTCGCCAGCCCTGCAACCACTACGACAGGAATTGTACCATGATAGCTCCCTGTTGCGGAGCGGCCTTTGGTTGTCGCATTTGCCACGACGAGTGCCCTATTCTGCCGCCTTTATTGATTGCCAAGCGGGCATCGCGGCGTTCCACAAGAAGCTCGTCCATGCCCGGAGGATGGACCAGCATGGACGATGGCAATCCCGCACCTCAAGAGACGCATCACACAATCGATCGATTTGCTGTCAAGGACATCATTTGTCGCAAATGCTATACCAAACAGAGTTCCAAAACGTATGTAACTTGCGCCGCGCTCCTATGCATCTTTGAATTTTTATCACAACAAGACTTTCTTGCTAGAACAGCGCTTGGATCCGCAATGTTCGTGCTTCGTTTGATTGGTTTGCTCAATTTTTCCTCCTTTCCACTTCGTCTTGTCTCGAACCAAAGAAACAAATGCGTCAACTCCGCTTGTGGCATTGAATTTGGAGAATATCATTGCAGTATTTGCAACTTGTGGATGTCGAACGAGGAAAAACCTTATCATTGCCCAGACTGTGGTTTTTGTAGGGTTGGGGGTGCCGAAAACTTTAAGCATTGTCACGACTGTGGTATGTGCATCGACAAGACATTGTACGACAATCATAATTGCAAAAGCGGGAAGTACAAATCGAACTGCCCAGTTTGTCAGGAGTTTCTCTTTAGTTCTCGGAGCGCTTCTCACGAGATGCCCTGTGGCCATGCAATTCATTGGGAGTGCTTTCGACAGCTAGCGGCCCACGACTCGCGGTGTCCCATTTGCAAGAAAACAGCAGAGACGAAAGAGAGAATGATTCCGACGTGGAATGCGATGGCCCAGGCCGTGGCAATGCAACCCGTTCCAGCGGAACTGGCACGAGTAGTGAACATCTCTTGCATAGATTGCGAACAATCGGAGGATGCCCGGGCTTGGCATTTCCTCGGTGTCCAGTGTCGCAATTGTTCATCGTTCAATACGGTTGTGGATCGCATTGTCATGCAGGGTGAAGAAGCAAACGAATTTTTGGAAGCTCTTCAGACAAGAATCGGCTTAGAAAACCACGAGGAAGGTAGCGAGCGAATCAGTCGACGGAGAATCAACAGAAGGCGATCTCTCTTCTAATACTTCTATTGTTTGCTTGTTGACACTCATTGCTACAATCTGTGTTGCACGGATGCGCTTTTCTCTAGTCTACTCTATTGTAGTTTGTCGAATCTTTGTGTTCGACTTTTTGTGCCGATTTTGAACTTTTCTGTGAGGTTTGAACGGCTGTTTGTACCGCACAATTCTCACGGCGTACCGTTCCATAAATAGTCGTCCGAAGACTGCGATTGTCCCCCTTTCAAGTCCAACTGAGAGAGAGCGAATCTTTTCGTTTTCGAGAGGATATCAGTAGAAGGGTTCTGTTTGAAACGGTGAGAGCTGTTGTTATTCGATTTCTTTTTTTTCGAATATCTGTCGGGAGAAAAAAAGTCGTTTGGTTTCGACCTCTTTGGCTGTGATCTTTTATTGGGTTCGATGCTTCTCTTCAACTGATTCGCAAATATTTCTTGGCGCTTAAAGAAGGATCGGATCGATCCTTTAGACTCGGAACATGATTTATTGCTGTTTTCTTGTGGTAATGGATGCCTTATCTTGCACTTGTTGGCAAAGGAGCCGCTTTCGAAACCAGATTTTGGTTTCGCCACTTGAACTTCTTCCTCCGGATCATCGATGCATTCGTCCAGTGCCCACTCATAGTCTCGCAACTCATTCTTTCGTGTTGCTGGTAAATTCATTTCATCGTCTATAGATTGAGGTCGTACCGGCGTTGTGCATGCGACACTCGGAAGTCCATCGCACGGACGCCTGATAGAAGAATCGAGTGTCACTCTGCGGGGGTCCGACCGTTTCTTCGAAAAATACTTGCTGGTTGCTTTCCCAGCATTCTTGGTATGGTCTCGCTCATTATCGTTCGGTTCTTCCGAAGTGAACGTCGAACAAATCTTAACTCCGATTGCATTAGATTCTTTCTCTGTTTCCTCGAATGTGTCATTCGATGGGACCACAGAAACAGCCTGGTCGTCACAGAGCGTTGCTTCCATTTTCGTCTCTGCGATTTTCGTCCGGATTTCTGAGTTGTCCATGTCGGAAGAATTGGAATTGGTCAAATCGAAAAAATCTTGAAGATTTCGATCAAGATTTTTCAATCCGTCACGCTTAATGTCTGAACTTGCACGTTTCGTCCGTATGCTTTCGCATTCGGAAGGGCTCGGCAAGTTGCAAGATGGATACGAAAAGGAGATTTCCTTCTTTCCATTGCTTTCGATGGGAGAGTAATCGAAACGGCGCTGTTCTATTCTAGAGTTGGTAGTCTTACTAGAAGTGGTATGATGTGTTTTCTTCGTTGCTCTTTTTTCAAAGAATGACTGGCCGGGGGGTTTTTGGGATGCGTTTGAACGAGATGAAAGCTGAAAGCTGGAGCCTGCAACTGAGAAATTCCGCAATCTAGAACATTGGGTGTCTCTCTTTGTTACCGTGGTAGAAGAAAATGTTCTCTTAGCATACCTCGGATCAGGTTTCACTAAGAATTTGGTGATACTGCCAGTACCCATATTTTTCTGAGTTTCGAGCTTCTTCTCGGTATTGAATCGGATGTTGATATTCCTTTCTCCTAGTGGCCTTTGTCTGTTGTTGTCGCATATTTTGAATTTCTTGTACGGATTTTGCAGTGTTTGTGATCGATTCGACGCTGATGAGTGTGAAAAATCTGGGTTTTTCGTCGGGAGAGTTGATGACATACTGTTGGGTTTACTGAGAATGGACGGCGCCATTGATTTCTGAACAGTATTGCAGTTGTTCGCGTCGTAACTATTCGGAATGACACGACTCGAAGACGAGTCAATATTGCCCAAAAATGACCAATCTCCTTTGAATCGAGACATGCACGGATAGTGATCCGAATGACATTTTCCGACGCTGCTTTCTTCTGGCGAAATGCGAGGCTCTAAAAGCGGTTTGATTTGGCAATCTTTGTGCAAGACAGGATGATAGAAAAAAATCGCCTCGCTCTTGGCGAGGATCTCTTCATGCTCGTTGATTTCGATCTTCTGTCGCACTTTTTTCGGAAGGGACTCGAGAATCTTTCGAAATCGCACGGAAGCACCGCGAAATGCGTTCTCACTTACCAGTTTGAAGGCGTTGGTTGTTCCTATGCCTTCGATATTTTTCCTATAGTCACAACCCGACAATATGCACCCCTGAACGAAAAGACGAACCCCAAGTCCTTTCGTGTTTACTTGTTTCGAAGCAAAACGCCGAAGAATGAACTCCAGTGTGTTCTTGCTTGTCACAGCCCTTGCCGTTTCCTGTGAGGATGGTGATATCAGCCACTTCATGTTGATGCTGTCGCAAGCTCCTGTCCTGCGATCGAGTTTGAACAAGATCGGAAATGGCTTGTGAGCGGCAGCACTGTACACCAAGACGTCCGAATCCTCCGTAATCACGGCGTCGGCGACACCGTCTAGCACCAGTCGAGTCAACTGGCTATCGGCTTCGTGGGGACTGTTCACAAAAAATACGCGACCGTAATTGGAAAAGGCCTTTTCCACCTCGCGGATGACGGCTTCCGTGAAGTTGTCTTTGATCCGTATGCACGACTTGTACTTGTCTTCTGCCTTCCATCTCTGGCCGGCCCTCTTGAGCCTTCTTGCCTCGGCTAGGTTTTGTAGGCGTTTTTGATCGCGATCCTGGCTTTCTTCCGCTTTGAGAGGGATCCGCTTGCCGTCCATCACTAAATACACCGCTTTGATCCCGAAGGCCTCGATCAACTCCTTGCACCTCGTGATGATGTATCTCGCAGAAACACGAACGCACCCGTGGTCCACACGTCCATTATTCGTGGCCTCAACGAACTTTTCCGAGGCGGAATAAACGCTTTTGTGCATCCACGAACTCGTGTCGACAGCAATGATAGAATTCCGATGGTTCCGAAGATTGTCCTTGACGGTACAGAACGAGAGCGCCTTGTGCAAGCCTTTGATCCCCATCTTGTCTCTGGCTTGGGGAATCGCAGTGCACGCGGTCTGAGTTCAGGAAAATATTCAGCTGCACTTTCGATGGCAAACTACACTAAATCAGAGACTGATTCCCGCGTCCTGTCTCCGGTGCAGAATCCTTTGACGTTGTGAAGATCAGCGACTTCAATTTTTGCACTGGACACTGGGGGGCAAAACAATATCCACTCCATCTCCTTCCAATCGCGATCTCTGTGAAACGCTGATCAACTCTGATCGCTACCTTTCTCGATGACGACGATGGTGGACGAGAGGATTGAGTTCGAAACGCTGGACACAGTGGAACGAGTGCCGTACCGGACAAGCTTTGTGTCACCTGTGAGAGTTCTCGCTGCAAGTGGGACGATTGAGAAAGAGCCGAAGAGCAATCATCCTCGTACTGCTCTCCTGCTACAGTAGTTCGTCCTTGGTACTACAGTTACGTACTGTACTAAGCAAAAAAAATTCTACTTGTACGATTAAGTTGTACTTTACTCCTAGGTACGGTACAGTACTGTGATGAATTTGAATTGTACTGATAACTGATACGAGTACTCGTACCCTCGTGAAAACTCATGAGTTATTTCAAATTACGGCGCGAACACAACCTCGTCCTGCGCGTTTCTGCGCGAAAATCCTTTCGTTGCGTTGTCAAAATCAAAATGCGTCACCAGTCATGTCAGATCGTATCGTATCGTCCGTCTTGCAAATTGCAAATCATGGCATGAGTTGGGATGATTTTCAAAACACCACATCTGTACGATACGTACGGTACGGGTACGCGTACGTGGTAACAAAGCGGATGCAACCCGTCCTCCGAAATTTAAGAGAGCATTCCTAATCCTAACATACCGTACAGTAAACCTACCGTACAGTAAATCATATCATTCTCTCGTATCGTACGGTACGACAAATCCAAGGGCCACCCCAGTGCATTACATTCAGAAAGAAACAGGAGAGCTTTACGGAATATCGACCGGACGCTCCCATCTATTGTGTCTGAAAGGATTCGTTCAAGACCTTCCACATATTCATTCGAATTGAAGCGCGACGATGATGCGTTTGCAGAATCGAGTTTTCGAACCCTCGGTGGCACTTCTTTTCTGTTCACTTTTCTGCCTGAGCCTTCCTCGGTTGGTTCACGGAGCAAGCGGGGCGGGTTGGAACTTGCCTCCCAAAAGCACCGCCGTCGTTACCGGTGGAACAAAAGGGATCGGAAAGGTAAGCGCCATTCTGCATCGTGCCGGACCCTAGCTGAGTCGCCGGATCCAGAACACGCCGCCGTGGGCGCGGCCTTCGCAACAATCACTTTGCCAACAATCGCCGTCGTCTAACCTTTGTTCCAGGCCGTCGTCGAGGAGTTGGCCGAAAAGGGGTGCAGATTGTTGATTTGCAGCAGAAAACAGGAGGATCTGGATCGGGTCACAAAGCAATGGAACGAAGAGGACGGTTTCGACGTGACGGGGGTCTGCGCCGACGTGTCGACCTCGGAAGGCCTGGAGTCTCTGTTTTCCGACATCGTGAACTGGCTCGGCGACGACCAGCGCCTGGACATACTCGTTAACAACGTGGGAATGAACATCAGAAAGCCATCCGTAGAATACACCAAGGAGGATACGCAAACCGTGTGGAGGACCAATTTCGATTCCATGTTCGATCTCACTATGATGTGCCACCCGCTCCTGAAACGAAATCCCGGAGAACGGTCCAGCTCTGTGATCAACATCGGGTCGGTTGCGGGTGTGACGTGCATGAAATCGGGGACACCCTACGCATCTACCAAGGCAGCGATGAACCAACTGACCGGAAATCTCGCCTGCGAGTGGGGTCTCGATGGGATCCGTGTCAACTGTGTTGCCCCTTGGTACATCAATACCGAGCTAGCGAAACAGGTTCTCAAAGACGAGGCATACCTAAAATCGGTGGTAGAAAGGACGCCTATGGGCCGCGTGGGAGAACCAGAAGAAGTTGCCGGATTGGTGGCTTTCCTATGCCTTCCAATTTCCCAGTACATCACTGGACAGGTCATTTCCGTTGATGGTGGGTTCACCAGAAATGGATATTACGACAGCTTTTATCGATGAGAGGAGAAAACTGAATAAATAAAGAACCATTATTGATTTAATCTATATATTGGGACGGCGCGATCATTCATGCCAATTTCTTATTCACTCTCATTGTTATTGCCATCACCTGCCTCAATACCTGGGTCTTCTATGATCTGATCAGTTTGACATTTGATTTGTCTCTATTTGTACAAATTCAATCCTTTCCGGTCAACTTTTCTTAGTAACTTGGGCATTATGAACAATCCTGGTGCTCAAGAAATTCATTGCTTTTCTGCGAAGAAGCCAAACATTGTTATTTTTTAAGAAACCAGTATAACTGCTGTTATTAGAAGTACGTGTCTGGGACGTTGGGAAACGACTCATAACCAGATACTTTAAGCTACTGGTCGTACGGCTCAGCTACTGGGTCACGTATGACTCATATCCGGATACTTTAAGCTACTGGACCAGCAACGTGCCTACTTATCTAAAAAAAGTGGCTTTAATATGGCTTTAATGGGACTTTCAAATACCTTTATGGTGGCGTTAAGTAGCTTAAAATCGACTTTTAAGTAGATTAAAAGCTACTTTTAAGTAGCTTAAAAGTAGCTTTAAAGCGGCTTTAAAGTAGCTTAAAAGCTACTTTTAAGCTACTTTAAAGCTACTTTTAAGCTGCTTTAAAGTAGCTTTTCGGTAGCCGTTAGATTGCGAATTATAATCTATATAAATAAACATTAATTAATAATAATAATTGAATATTGAAAATATACATATATATATATACAATCATCATAGGTAGTCCCACGATTGAAAATAATTAACGGAAAGTCAATTGACAATTCAGTTTTAAGATCTATGCCCTCAATTATATTTATTCATCAACGTATATATATATTGGTAATCCAACGGCTACCGAAAAGCTACTTTAAAGCGACTTTAAAGTAGCTTAAAAGTAGCTTTAAAGTAGCTTAAAAGTAGCTTTTAGGCTGCTTTAAAGCTGCTTTAAAGCTACTTTAAAGCTACTTTTAAGCAGCACGAAAGTATTTTTTTTCGTTCTCACTATGCTCAGCAGTGCGGCATATATATCAGCAGGCACGTGATTCAGTAGCTGAGACGTAGGTCCAGTAGCTTAAAGTAGATGGTTATTAGGAGGCACGTGTCTCAGTAGCTGAGCCGTAGGTCCAGTAGCTCAAAGCACGAGGTTATGAGTCGTTTCGCAACGTCCCTGCCAATGTATCCTCTTGCTGCCACAGAAAAGTATCAAAGCATAGTTTGAGGCCAAGTGAAAATTGTATGATTCTGAACAGCCCAGATTGGAACATCAAGAACCTATTAGTACATCTGACACTTCATTAAACACTAGAACACAAGAAAATGAATTTGGTGCAAGTTGGTGCATGGAAATGGTGACAATCTATGATCTTAACTTTTTATTCTTGTGAAAATATAGAGCATTACTAGGGCATAGAAATCAAAAGATATTGGAATTTTTCACTACTAGTACTATACTCAAATGGTAAGTAAATGCAGCATCCAGTATAATCTATTGCAAGCAACCATTCAGATCCTTATTTGATTTTACCCTATGGCTACTACTAGTCCCACCAACAAGTACTAACTTCTCAATATACAAGAGAAATAAGACAGTAGATGGTGTCTGGAACAGCACAGCAGGGGACAGATGGAGAACATTCTTCGCAAAGTCCAGTAAAATATCAAGAAGAAAGGAAACAAAGCTTTCTGTAGCAAGGAACCAGAAGCAGAGGGAGGACAAAGAAGCAAGAGAAGTGGAGATCCAAAAGCTGCTAGAGAATACAGGAATTGCCATTGCCTTTGCTTGCCCCTGAGACAACCAGAATCATGCATGAAAGTGCCTTGTTAAAAAAAATGGGCTTGCAAGAACAAGCTACAAAAAATAACACCAGCAGTTGCTGGAGAACCTGCTTGCGGAAACAATTGGTTTTAAATAAAAAACCGGCTGTTCAAAAATACCACAAGCAGCTGCTTCAAAAGCTGCTGGTAGAAATAGGCTCCACTTGCGAGTATGAGACCAAACCAAGTGGCTAGCGAGAACAAGATCACACCAACAGGCTTGGGAGAACAAGCCCCAACCAACCACGGGCTTGCAAGGACAAGCCGTGAGGATATAAACACCACAAGCAGCTGCTGGAAAACCTGCTTGTTGAAGCAATCAGTCTTAAAGAATCATCTGTTTGATCATGTTTGTACACATATCTCATGACCTTAAATATAGTAAATGATATGTCACTACTACTTATCTATCGATTTGGACAACAGAAAAAATTCGGACCATTCCACCATTTTTGGGCTCTGGTCCTGTCCAGTCTCTCTCTGGCATATCTTCTCAGCCATAAGAACTCAGACAATGACAAATCCAGTACATGGGAAGCTTATTTCAATAGTGTTTTTTTCATTTGTGTACTTGGATCAGGAGGCAGGAAATGCCTCCTTCCTAGCAAATTGGAGGACGCTAGTGATTTGGTCCATTCTGCCATTTTTGGGCCCTGATCCCATCCAGTCTCTCTGGCATAATTTCTCTGCCATAACTTGCTCTTTTCATTCGTGTACTTGGATCTGGAACGGACTGCCTCCTTCCTTTCGTTTTGGACAACACAAAAAATTCAGACCAACCACAGGAGGCTTGGGAGAACAAGCCCAAAAAATGGGCTTGAGAGCGCGGCAAGTGGCTTGCGAGAACAAGCCTAAAAAATAGGCTTGCGAGTGCCTTGCAAAAACAATTGGTCAGTTATTCTGGGACAAACCAGAAAAAATCAGACCAACCACAGGCTTGCGCAAGCCAAAACCAACCATTGGCTTGCGAGAACTTTTCATTAGTAAAAATATTATTTGCGGGGTACGGCACTTCAAGTACTTTAAGTACATCAAATGGGTATTGGTTGAAAAAAATGTGGTGCGGCTTGGCATGCTTTGCGCAAGCCAGATATTTGTTAGCAGAAATGATAATTGATGAGAGTAGGCAGGATTATCAGAGTGCTACTAGCCATTCAATGTCAATTGGGTTCATCAGAACACTTGTAGCAATTGTTCATACTAAATAGTGTTGGGAGTGCAAAGGTGTGTGTGTGTGTGTGTGTGTGTGTGTGCGTGTGTGTGTGTGTGTGTGTGTGTGTGTGTGTGTGTGTGTGTGTGTGTGTGTGTGTGTGTGTGTGTGTGTGTGTGTGTGTGTGTGTGTGTGTGTG